AAACATCTAGCTATGGACGAATGGCATTAGCCTATTAAATCGGAAAGTGGGCTAGAATTGCTCAGTGAGAAGAGGCGAGAAGTGAAGAGAGTGACTGAGACAGACAGAGAGAGAGAGAGAGAGAGAGAGAATAAATAACGAATTATATTACGTAAATTAAACTAACTGCAATCTACAGTGCTACAGTGGGCTAATTGTCTATTTTATTGCTCAAAATCGCATTACCAAAAAATATTTTCCTGACTCAAACTGCAATTCAGGCAAAGTGTTTTACATATTTTCAAGTAGATATAAATTAATTTTTGGCAAACTTTAACAGTTTTTAGCCCACAGTGCAGCGTCATAGCTGAAAGCAACAAGAAAAGGACATTCGAAAATGCATTGACATGCAAGCTTGCAGACAAATTTATTGATTAAACAGGCCGTCCGAAGACGAGCCAAAGGCAATAAATAATAAATATATAAACAAACACAAAGGCAATGGAAATTATTAAAAATTTGCCCAGATTTGTTAATGCGCCGCGTCAAGCGACATCACGTGCTGCGGGCAGAGAATCAGCCGCCAAAAGTTGGCAGCTATAAAAATTTGTGTCGCTCATTTGCTCAATGAGTCAGCGACACGAAAAAAATGTGAAAAACTTGATGAAAATTGTGCAAATTTAATGCGCAGCAGTATTTAATTTTTTGTTTTTGTGTTTTTAATTTGCCATTTAGGGTGTGCACGCGGCTCAGGCAGAGGAGAGAGGGGCTACAGTGGGGGCACAGAGGGAACGGCTCATCAAATTATCTACTATTTGTTGTTAAGCAAGTTATTTGTCGTTGTTGTTGTTGTTGTTGTTGTTGTTGTGGTTGCCATTGTTAAACAATCTGTGCATAAAATGCATTGATCAAGGCCAATAGGGCGCCCCAAATGGGGAGCGCTCGAAATGTGACGTTGAAATGATTGAATGGCTGCAGCTAGAGATGAGCACGTGACACGTGAGTGAATTTAGCCAATGAATTATACAAGACAGCTGAGCTATTGACAGGTAACACAAATACCAATATATATCAGGGATTGTTCTCTCTGATTGATGGACATTGTATGCTAATAAAGCATTTACATCGAGAGCAGTTTGAAAATTTGCTGACAAATATAAATTTCATTTCAACTCAAATTTGGTAAACTGTATGTATGTACATAACATATATTTTTTAATGGCTTGAAAATAATTTTAAAAAATTTTTTTTTTTTTTTTTTGATACAAAAAAATTGTACCAATATAGCATATTTATTTTTAAATTTATATATTAATGTTTATATTCATTTTTAAATTTTTTAATGATTAAATTTTTGTATATATATTAGTTTTTGTCTTATTTATTTAAATCAATATATAAATTATTTTAATATGATTTTTTACGATACAAATTTATAATATAAACTATTTTTCCTTTATTAATTGAAAACCATTCATAATTTTTTTTTAATTGATTCAAATTAATTGATCAGTTGCTTGTTCTAAGAGAAATGCTTTTAATTATTAAATATAAATTTCTTCGTTACATCTTAAATTTTATAGAATTCATGGTTTCATCAGATTTATGAAAAATACCTTTTAGAAAAATATAAAACTAGATTTCACACTAATTTTATTCATTTTCAAAAATGCTGAGCTCAAATAGATGTGAATGCCATATACATAAGAAATCTGAAGTATGTCGATAATTAGCGTACTCGAAACACTCTGAATACATTTTGAATGCCAAGACACTGTAATAGACAACTCTATCTTGAGCATTTAAGTGCTTCAAGTACTCGAAATACTTTAGAATACACAATGTGAATATTTGATAGACATGATAGATGCCTTTGACATCTTTGTGACCATTTGAATGCTTCGAGTATTTTGAATACAATGAGTAGCTGTGGCTTGGGAAAATACTTGTAGAACCTTGAATGAATACGAATTACCTTTATAGAGCTATCGATGGCTGTCTCTGTATGTGTGTGTGTATGTGTGTGTGTGTGTCTAGCTAACTGATTACATTTTTGGTGATAATTGTTGGTCTTGTCATTTTTATTTTTTTTTTTATTTTCATTATTATTATTATTATTACTATTTCAATTAGACAATAGCTTAGGCAATAACAATAGCGACAACAATTCGCTTTTAAGTGCCCGCTCGACAGTTTGCCTTTCGCTTTTGCTCAATGAGGCGCAACAGCTGCCAATCGACGACCGTTGGCGATGCTACACGCCCACATTGAGCGCCCACATGATTGTTATGGGCATATAGGCCATATATAGGCAGATATACTATGCTATATATGTACATATATAGATAGATGTTTATGTATGTATATATAGAACATACTGCCAGTCCGGAGATGTACAACGACTCTATCGATCGTTCAATTAGCGCGCTCAGCGCCTGACACTGAACCAAGCCAGCCCAACAACAATGCCAACAACAACAACAACAACGACAACAACAATAACAACAACATTGACAAGCAGCACTGACATTGACATTTCAGCCAAAGCGATTGGGCTTTACACATATATATATATATATATGTATATATAATGGGTTTTTTTCTTCCACATTTTTTCTATGTGTTTTGGATGCCTTTTTAATGCACATTACACGGAAGCAGCCAGCGGCTGCTCAATTAAGTGCACGCCCCTGTAAAAGGTGGGGCACTGCGGCCCCTCCGGCCTGGCAGTAATCTTCATTCGCTTCGCTGGCCAACGAAACGCAAATTCTGATTTCGTCTGCTCCCGCGCTCAATTTAATTAATTTTGCATTCGGCTGCCTCTTTTATTTTCAAGTTCAATAGCTGCGACTCCAAGTCGACGCCAAAATGTTTGATTCACGCTGTGTGAGTGCGTAAGAGAGAGAGAGAGAGAGAGAGAGAGTATGTGTGTGTGTGTTGGATTAGCCTTATTCGGCTGCCTTCTGCCTTCTGCCTTCTCCTTCGCTCTCTGGTAATAGAAATTTTCTGCTTTTTTACAGCAATTTTCGTTTGTAATTAAGTTAATTGGCCCACGCGACGTATGAGTAATCTGCTTAGGCTTAGCCCCAAAAGCCTATTACATATATCCGTTTCTCCTCCTTTTATTTTTTTGGTTTTTTGTTTTTGGGTCAGCTCACAATAGCTGCAGTGGCTATAATGCAGTCAAGACCCAGGCCGGCCGTGGCAAGTGAGCTGTCAAAATTGGCAGAGTAATTGAATAACACATTGCCCCACATCCAGCCACATGGAGTAGCCTGAGATTGCTTTCAGGTAAGCATTTTTGGCACGAAACAACATTTTGAACAGCTTCAGTGCACATGTGTATTACGATATACAAATTGATAAACATAGATATACAAAACTTATACTATATGCAGTTAAGCTCTTTATGAGTATATTAAAACCGAAAAACTAGAAGTCCAAGTGATGCTATAACTATGCTAGACTAGGGCAATCCTCGTCGCCTGGGCAAAGATTATATACAAAGATGGAATAATTGTGAACTATATTTCACTTTCGAGGCATCCAATTAGAATGGGCATTAGCTATAGCTCTTGGAAATATGCCAAAAGAGCTGAAGCTGCATATCGATTTTGATTTGTTTACGATAAAATTGGGAAAAAACAATCGATGACAGCATCTAGCGAGCTCTGCATATAAAATTTTCCATTCCTTATAGACTTTGAGCTCACTATATTTATATTGTTTAAAGGGAAACGAAACTCAGGTCAGACAGATCAGCGAACGAATACGAGAAGAGATCTGAAATGCCTCAAGTTTAAACCATAATTAAAAATGTATGTGCATATGCATATCATCTATCTAGTATAGTCTCAAATGACATAATTAAATTGAATTATATTATTAAGAATTTTAAATTAGTAATTTATGTACTTTAACGTCTTCTTCCTATTGTTTTAAATAATTTGATTATTTTTAATCTTAAACAATAATATAAAGATGTTGAACTTCATCAATTTATAATTTAAAATTCTCATATATGTGCATGTATATTTCTAATAAAATATTCTTTATGAGATTGATTCTAAACGAAGGTCAAAACACTTTCTGAGAGCAATGCACACACATACACATATACACACACACAGGTCTATCACCGATAAACTCTTTTTAAAATACTAAATGAATTCTAAATATATTAGATATAAATCAATTCTTAGGTTGAGCTCTCAGCTTGATTTCTGATCAAAGTTTGAGCTAATTTCAAAGTAAATAAATATTTACTACTGAAACAGATTCAGTGGAATATATATTTATTATTATGAAAGCTAGGCAGGTAACTAAAAAAATACTGTAAACAAATACGCTAGAACAATAAATTGAAAAAGAAAAAAAAAATGGAAATGGAAATTCAAATGAAAATGAAATTTCAAACTTTTGGCAAGTTTCAAATGCAGTGGAAATGTTAGTATTAGCTGCAAATACTAACGACGTACATATATAAAAAAAATTATATATATATGTATATATATATATAATGTATGCATGTGTGTGCGTGTGTGTCAAGCATTGTGGTAAAGGCACTTGAACTTTGCATTTGCATTTGAGAGGCCTTGCCTGACTGAGAGGGCGAAAGGGTTGTGCAGCACACGTTTGATGGCCTGGGTGTGTGCCAAGGCTCTGCATACAAGGTAGTGGCTGCTGCCAGCTGGAAAATGGTACACACAAACAAACAAACACACACACCCACACACACACACATTTATGTATATATTTATGCAGTTTATATACAGGTGAAGTGGGCAACGGTTATGTGGAAATGGCCTTTGCCTTTGCAACAACCAACACAGCCTCCAAATTGGGTCAGCCACAATGAATGTGTGTGCGCTCAAGGTCATCCTGCAGCTGAGGCTGAGCACTCAAATTGACGCTGCAGCAGACTCCTAATCATGGCCAGAGTTGTGCACTATTGTCTGGCATTTTTCGGGGGAACAGGCTGCACTTGAATTTCGAAATGTTTTGCTTTGAAATTTACTTACCGCATATCTCCATGACATCTTAGTAAATTGCTCTGTGCTTGTGTGTATGTGTGTGTGTGTGTGTGTTTGGGGGTGTGTGGATGTGCGTTGGCCTCCTTGTTAGCTGCCTCGTTGCCTATTCCTGCTGCTCCTGCGGCTCCTGCTGCTCCTGCTGTTGGTCCTGTTTCCTGGTCGGCGCGTCGTTCGTTGCTCCCGCTGCGCGTTGCTGTGGCTACCTTCCGCTGTTTGTTTGTGTTCAGGTGTTGAGTAAATATAAATAATAGATGATTATCGTTAACAGCAACAGCAACAGCAACAGCAACAGTCTGCACTCGCTTCGAATGACAACAAATCAATGTACTATTCGATGCACACACTCGAAAAAAAATAATAAAACTATTGAAATGGACCAAAACGCACCTTAACGAAAACACACGTCTCGGACTCTTATATATATATATATATGAATATAAATATATATATATATGTGTTATATGTGTATATGTGTATATATGTTTGCGTGTGTTTGCCAAATTCGAATTGAACAACTCAATTAAATAGTAAATATATTATACTTTTAATTTCAATTTAATTTCTTATTTATATATATATATATATATATATATATATGTATATGTATATATTATATATATACATATATACACATATATATATATAGCGGTCTGTATTTCTCTCGAATTCTTCTAGCAGCGTTCAGTTCTCGGTTTTATTTATTTTTTGCGTTCTGGCGACGGACTTTTTGCGACTGATTTGCAAAGCGGCTTTCGCTTTGGGGTTGGTTTTTGTAGGCGTCCAAAAGCTCCATTCGGGCCACCTCTGGCCCGAGCGTCGGTGACGTAGACGATGAGCTTTTTGCCGACGCGATTTGGCTTTGCTGACTGCACGTGGTGACGCGGACGGACCCTACACACACACACACACACAGAGAGAGAGAGAGGAACACTGATATAGTGAGAGGGAGGCAGGCACACCCACATGCAGGAGAGAGCCGCCCACTTACGCATATGTAAATATTTTGAAGCGAGTATTCTAGTAATGTATTTGTTTTGCTCGCTAATGAGAGAGCAAATGCCTCTGAGTGAATGACAGAGAGAGAGAGAGAGAGAGAGGAGGCCAGGCAGAGGGCGAGAGGTAGATAGGGAAGAGGCAATGGAAAAGCTTTTAGCAAGCAGCAGTAACAAACTTGGTCAACCGTAACGTTTAGATATATGCATACCTATATATATACATACATATGTATAAACATACATATATATGTATGTAGATATTTGCTTGTTTGTGTCAAAGTTCCGCAACGCAATTCAAGATCAACCCACAGACATGATTCACGGCATAGAAAATCGCAGGGCAGAGCTTTGCTGTGAATGTGAATGAATGCATGGCACTGAAAGCACTTATGGAAATTTCATTTATAAATATTCTATAGAATCTGCGTCGCGATTAACTGCTGCGAAAATAGATTCAGCAGAGTGCGAGAATAACTCAAGCCGCATTAGCTAATTGAGTCATTTCGTTTATGAATGAAAATATGAGCCTGATTAGATATCCTGTGGTACTTATATCTTATATCTTATATCTTATATCTTATATCTTATATCTTATATCTTATATCTTATATCTTATATCTTATATCTTATATCTTATATCTTATATCTTATATCTTATATCTTATATCTTATATCTTATATCTTATATCTTATATCTTATATCTTATATCTTATATCTTATATCTTATATCTTATATCTTATATCTTATATCTTATATCTTATATCTTATATCTTATATCTTATATCTTATATCTTATATCTTATATCTTATATCTTATATCTTTTTTATCTTATTTATATCTTATATCTTATATCTTATATCTTATATCTTATATCTTATATCTTATATTTTATATCTTATATCTTATATCTTATATATCTTATATCTTATATCTTATATCTTATATCTTATATCTTATATCTTATATCTTATATCTTATATCTTATATCTTATATCTTATATCTTATATCTTATATCTTATATCTTATATCTTATATCTTATATCTTATATCTTATATCTTATATCTTATATCTTATATCTTATATCTTATATCTTATATCTTATATCTTATATCTTATATCTTATATCTTATATTATATCTTATATCTTATATCTTATATCTTATATCTTATATCTTATATCTTATATCTTATATCTTTATATCTTATATCTTATATCTTATATCTTATATCTTATATCTTATATCTTATATCTTATATCTTATATCTTATATCTTATATCTTATATCTTATATCTTATATCTTATATCTTATATCTTATATCTTATATCTTATATCTTATATCTTATATCTTATATCTTATATCTTATATCTTATATCTTATATCTTATATCTTATATCTTATATCTTATATCTTATATCTTATATCTTATATCTTATATCTTATATCTTATATCTTATATCTTATATCTTATATCTTATATCTTATATCTTATATCTTATATCTTATATCTTATATCTTATATCTTATATCTTATATCTTATATCTTATATCTTATATCTTATATCTTATATCTTATATCTTATATCTTATATCTTATATCTTATATCTTATATCTTATATCTTATATCTTATATCTTATATCTTATATCTTATATCTTATATCTTATATCTTATATCTTATATCTTATATCTTATATCTTATATCTTATATCTTATATCTTATATCTTATATCTTATATCTTATATCTTATATCTTATATCTTATATCTTATATCTTATATCTTATATCTTATATCTTATATCTTATATCTTATATCTTATATCTTATATCTTATATCTTATATCTTATATCTTATATCTTATATCTTATATCTTATATCTTATATCTTATATCTTATATCTTATATCTTATATCTTATATCTTATATCTTATATCTTATATCTTATATCTTATATCTTATATCTTATATCTTATATCTTATATCTTATATCTTATATCTTATATCTTATATCTTATATCTTATATCTTATATCTTATATCTTATATCTTATATCTTATATCTTATATCTTATATCTTATATCTTATATCTTATATCTTATATCTTATATCTTATATCTTATATCTTATATCTTATATCTTATATCTTATATCTTATATCTTATATCTTATATCTTATATCTTATATCTTATATCTTATATCTTATATCTTATATCTTATATCTTATATCTTATATCTTATATCTTATATCTTATATCTTATATCTTATATCTTATATCTTATATCTTATATCTTATATCTTATATCTTATATCTTATATCTTATATCTTATATCTTATATCTTATATCTTATATCTTATATCTTATATCTTATATCTTATATCTTATATCTTATATCTTATATCTTATATCTTATATCTTATATCTTACATCTTACATCTTATATCTTATATCTTATATCTTATATCTTATATCTTATATCTTATATCTTATATCTTATATCTTATATCTTATATCTTATATCTTATATCTTACATCTTACATCTTATATCTTATATCTTATATCTTATATCTTATATCTTATATCTTATATCTTATATCTTATATCTTATATATTATTTTTTATATCTTATATCTATGTATAGATCTAATATTTAATATTCCATATCTTGTATTTGATTATTATTTAAGTGCATATGGAAAACATAATTGTTCTAGAAGATATATAATTAAAATGCATAATTTTGATATTTCTTCCTTTTAGCCCGACTCGGCCTCCATTTTTGGTTTTTCTTTCTTCTTCATGCCAACGAGCATCTGCTTCAATTGGACGATCGCCTTGGCTGGGTTCAGGTTCTTAGGGCACGTGTTTGTGCAGTTGAGTATGGTGTGGCAGCGGTACAGTTTATAAGGATCTGTGAGCATGTTCAAGCGCTTTTCGGTCACCTCATCCCGCGAATCGATGACCCAGCGAAAGGCCTGCATCAGGATGGCAGGGCCCAAGTACTTATCGCTGTTCCACCAGTAGGACGGACAGGAGGTCTGGCAGCAGGCGCACAATATGCACTCGTAGAGCCCATCTAATAACAAGCGGTCCTCGACCGCTTGCAAATATTGCACCTTACCGACCTCCCTGTTCGCATTCTTGCGCTGCAGCCAGGGCTCAATGGAGCGATACTGCTCATAGAAGCGTGACAGATCCGGCACCAAATCCCGCACCACATACAGATGGGGCAGCGGATAGATCTTGCACGGCTTGCCCAAGTTCTTGTCGATCGGCTGGATGCAGGCCAGCGTATTGATGCCGTCGATGTTCATGGCACAGGAGCCGCAGATGCCCTCCCGGCACGAACGGCGAAACGTGAGCGTTCCGTCCATTTCATTCTTCACCTTGATTAGGGCATCCAGTACCATGGTGCCGCACTTGTTCAAGTCGATCTGGTATTTTTGCGTCTTGGGCTTGCCGCCGGGATGCCAGCGATATATTTCAAAGGTCTTGATGCGCGGCCCCTGTGGCTTCGCCTCCTTGGGCGGCGGCGGCGGAGGTGGTGGCGGAGCGCCGGCCTTCGGTGGGTCAGCTTTGCCTGGTGGCTTATCACCCCCTTCCTTTTTCATCTCCGCGGCCTTCTTCGGCTCGCTGGGCTTGCTCGGCTCGCTCGCCTTGGCCGGCTCAGCGGGCTTACCTGGCTCAGCGGGCTTGCCCGGCTCGTTCTTCTTGTCGCACGTATCTTTGCTGTAGACCACAGAGATGGGCAGCACGGTCGGAATCACATATTTCATGATCAGCTGCTTGTTCAGCACGGACGCCTCCAAGAAGCGCAGTCGTCGCTTAAGCCGAAGCATCATTATAAGACACGGCTCAGTTAATCTTCTGCGCGTTCACAACAAAAATGTTTCAATATTTATTGGAAATTTTGACTCAACTTGTTTTTTGTGTATTTGTGTACTCAAGTTGTTTAACGTAAGACTGTGTATTAACGAATGACTAGAGAAAATACAAGCGGGCCTTAAGTCAATTTAGAAATAAGGTCCAGGCAAACTAGATGGAAATTAAAATGAAAATTTGAAAAATATTAAAAGTTATATCTCAGCTGGGAATCATAGGGAGACTGTGCGAATTAGCCATCTCTTTCTCGCTCCCTCTATTTTTCTCTCCCTCTCTCTCTAACCTAGAGATACCCGAATCTACATTCAATATATGATATAAACTAATACGTATATAAATAATAAATAATAAATAAAATATAAAAAATAATCAATAATAAATAATTAATAATAAATAATAAATAATAAATAATAAATAATAAATAATATATAATAAATAATAAATAATAAATAATAAATAATAAATAATAAATAATAAATAATAAATAATAAATAATAAATAATAAATAATAAATAATAAATAATAAATAATAAATAATAAATAATAAATAATAAATAATAAATAATAAATAATAAGTTTGCATTAATAAATATTATTTAAAAAATAAATAATTAATTAATATAAAATTTACAGTATACAAAAAAATCAAATAAATCAACTATGGAAGTTCAATTTATTTAATTCAAATATTAAATTATTAAAAAAAAAAAAAAAAAGAAAACGTATTTTTTTGTACAGAAATACAAAGTTGCATTCAAACAACAAATTCGCCGTCTTGATTCGATGCAGAAAAAAATATATAGAAGTCATGAAGGTATTATTATAAACAATAAAAA